TGTGCACCTGTTTCTGCAGTGTCTGTGTGTCCAGAGGCATGTTTGTGTGGAAACCTGTGTGTGTGTGTGAGAGAGAGAGTCTGTGTGTGTACTACACGGCAGTAACAGGGCTTGTCGCTGTGTGTTTATCTGTTTGTACACAATGCATTTAAATGTTTCTGTGTCTGGGCTGATTTCTGTAAGCAGGTGGTGATCATTAACATTCTCTCTCCCAGGCTGATCTCCCGCTCCTGATAAACCAGCTCCATCCATACATTTTCCAATCACGTTATCCAATTCTGAGTCGCAGGGGAGCCAGAGCCTATCCCAGCAAGCAACCGGCGCGAGGCAGGGTACACCCTGGATGGGACGCCTGTCCATCCCAGGGCACACAGACACACACACACACACACACACACACACACACACACACACCAGGGCCACCCCCCGATAAACCTTAGACACACACAGAAAGGTCTGTACCTTCTCTTCATTCTCAAAGGTCTTAGAGGAACTAGATCTCCTCGGTCTTGATGGACGGCGACGGAGCCTGAGATTTGAAGCCCAGCTCAAACAGCCGCATCCGGAGCACAGGAGCTCGTTAGCACAGTTTGAACACTAGCGGTCTCTGGAGGTGCGAACGAGCTGTAGTGTGTGCTTGACTGATGGTGTGACTGAGGCCAGGGATAGTCGGCTGCTTACGTCCGTAAATATGTAAAAATAAACACAGACACACTAAAGAGAAGTAAATATAGACGCCATGTTTTCACGGATTCATGTCATTCTGCTCTTTGGGTGTGTGAAGTCACCAGATGAGATGACAGCAGCCAGTTATCAGAAAGCACCCATTGGTTTGTGAGATCAGCTCTATGAATAACCCTTAATTACTCCAATTAACAGCCAGAGTGCCGCTTTACTGTTAATCATGAATTTCTTTGTCATGGTAGAGAGACTGCAAGGCACAGATAAGAACTCCTATCCTCACCAAGACTGCACAGAGACACAAGTATCACAGATGTTATAGTGCACAGCTCTGGAGCAAGTCAGAACAGACACCCACCAGCTAAAAGGTCTTCTGCAGCAACAGACACAGAGCTCCTCTACACTAACCCTGTATTGACACAGAGCTCTGCTACACTAATCCTGCACTGACACAGAGCTCTACTTCACTAACCCTGTACTGACACAGAGCTCTACTTCACTAATCCTGCACTGACACAGAGCTCTACTACAGTAATCCTGCACTGACACAGAGCTCTGCTACACTAATCCTGCACTGACACAGAGCTCTACTACACTAATCCTGCACTGACACAGAGCTCTGCTACACTAATGCTACACTGACACAGAACTCAACTACACTAACCCTGTACTGACACAGAGCCCCTCTACGCTAATCTTGCACTGACACAGAGCTCAACTATACTAGACCTGCACTGACATGGAGCTCCTCTACACTAATCCTGCACAGACACAGAGCTCCTCTACACTAACCCTGCACTGACACCGAGCTCCTCAACACAAACCCTGCAGTAACACAGAGCTCTGCTACACTAATCCTGCACTGACACAGAGCTCTACTACACTAATCCTGCACTGACACAGAGCTCTGCTACACTAACCTTCCACTGACACAGAGCTCCTCTACACTAATGCTACACTGACACAGAACTCAACTACACTAACCCTGCACTGAAACTGAGTTCAACTATACTAACCCTGCACTAACACAGAGCTTTGCTACACTAACACTGCACTGACACAGAGCTCCTCTACACTAACCCTGCACTGACAAAGAGCACTACACTAGCCCTGCGATGACACAAAGCTCAACTACTCTAACCCTGCACTGACACAGAGCTCCTCTACACTAACCATGCACTGACACAGAGCACAACTACACTAACCCTGCACTGATAAAGAGCTTCTCAACACTAGCCCTGCACTGACACTGGACTAAACTGCACAGACACAGGGCTACACTGCATTGACGCAGAGTAACTCTACACTAACAATGCTCTAATACAGAGCTCTTCTACAATAACAATGCACAGACACAGGGCTACACTCTACTAACCCTTGCAGTAATAGATACAATTATCACAGATTATCACAGACCTCATATTCCCTCTTATTACACTGACACAGAGCTCATTTATCCTAACACTAAACTGACACAGGGTCACACTGCACTAATGCAGAGTTCAACTACACTAACCCTGCACTGGCACAGAGCTCTTCTGCACTAATTCTTTATAGCACAGCTTTCCTCTACACTAATACACTGTAGCACAGAGCTCCTCTACTGTAACAATCTGTAGCACAGAGCTCCTCTACAGTAATACTTTGTACCACAGAGCTCCTCTACAGTAATATGTTGTAGCACAGAGTTCCTCTACAGTAACACTCTGTAGCACAGAGCTCCCCTACTGTAACAATCTGTAGCTCAGAGCTCCTCTTCAGTAATACGTTGTAGAACAGAGTTCTTCTTCAGTAACACTCTGTAGCACAGACCTTTTCTACAGTAACAATCTGCTGCACACAGCTCCCCTGTGGTAACACGTTATAGCACAGAGCTCCTGCACAGAGGAGAGTAAGACTCCATAGCACAGACCTTTTCTACAGTAACACTCTGTAGCACAGAGCTTCTCAGCAGTAACTTTTTACATCGAGCCAGCAAGTCTCTCAGTATGAGTGTCCCCAAATCCCACAAAATCTCTATCCAGGAGCACATGGCGATCAATGTGTGCCCTGGGCCCATTCGGCCCATCAAGCAGATCTCAGACTTCTTTCCCCGATTCCACGACTTCCCTGCTATGGTCCTGCCCAAGAGGGATCCCCCCATCCAGAGCTGTGACCCCCCGGAGCCTCCAGAAGAGCAGAAGGACAGAGATGAAGAGAGGGAAGTGGAGAGAGAACGGGACAAGGAATCGGACATCGAGGCAGAAGGGGACAGTTACGACTCGGATGATGCTAGTGAGCGCATTTCTCTCTCATCTCTCCATCTCAAACCGGTTGATCCTTTGCTCAACTACTGATCTCCCTCCCTGGTTATTGATGTGTCTCCCAGCATACCTTGGAACCCTGGAGTTCAGCCTATTATTTGATCAGGAGAACAACGCTCTCAACTGCAGTGTGCACAGAGCCAAGGTGCGCCATCACTATCATCACCATTAATCACCATCATCACTATCATCACCATCATCATTATCACCACTACACCAGTATGTATCTCAGTGTATCTCATTGTCTCCCAGAGAATTACAGTGTCTCAGAGTTTCCCAGTGTATCCCAGTACCTCCCAGAGTCTGTCAGAGTACCACAAAGCAAAAATCTCCATATGCTCAAACACAAACAAAGGAAACTTCAGGAAATGCATTTAATAACTGAGAACACAAAGGGTGGTGGGAGTGTGGAACAAGCTGCCCAGCAATGTTATTGAAGCCAGTACCATGGCATCTTTCAAGACACAGCTAGATGACATCATTGATCAATTAACAATCAACTTTCCTGTAATCTTATGTTCTGTAGTTGTAACTTCCATGTTTTTGAAGCCAGTTCATTCTGACTAATTCCAGGACTGTTGCTGACTCTCCCTGCTCCAGTGACCCCAGTATCCTGACCCTGATCCCAGCGGAGCACTGAGATAATGGCTGACTGTCCAGTAGCTAAATGAGTCCCCACAGAGTGCTCAACATTCATCACTTCTGTCTCTACAGGGGCTGAAACCCATGGATTCTAATGGCCTGGCTGACCCATACGTCAAACTGCACCTGCTGCCTGGGGCAAGTAAGGTACATCAGTGGTACCAGATTGAAGATTATATCACACAGTGAGAACAGTACAGAGACACTCTCTGACACTAGAGTACAGACACACACACAGCCACTGGATTACAGACACACACACTGACACTGGAGTAGAGAAACACACACAGACACTGGAGTATAGACACACACTGGCACTGGAGTACAGAGACACTCGCTGACACTGGCGTACAGACACACACACAGACATTGGAGTACAGACACACACACAGACACACACACAGACATCGGAGTACAGAGACACACGCTTACACTGGAGTACAGACGCACACTGACAGTGGAGTAGAGAAACACACACAGACACTGGAGTACAGACACGCACTGGCACTGGAGTACAGAAACACACACAGACACTGAAGTACAGACACACACACACAGATACTGGAGTACAGACACACACAGACAGTGGAGTATAGACACACACACAGACACTGGAGTACAGACACACACAGAGACATCGGAGTACAGAGACACACGCTGACACTGGAGTAGAGAAACACACACAGACACTGGAGTACAGACACGCACTGGCACTGGAGTAGAGAAACACACACAGACACTGGAGTACAGACACGCACTGGCACTGGATTATAGAAACACACAGACACTGGAGTACAGACACGCACACACAGATACTGGAGTACAGACACACACAGACAGTGGAGTACAGACAGACACACAGACACTGGAGTACAGACACACACAGAGACATCGGAGTACAGAGACACACGCTGACACTGGAGTACAGACACACAGCCACTGGCGTACAGACACACACTGACAGAAATCCACACAGAAACACAGTGAGTGGGACACAGAGACAGAACTGGCGCTGAGGAAGCAGCCCAGCTGTGCTGAGCCAATGGTGTGTGAGGGGCTGTTCCCATTGTCCCTCCCTCCTTTCCGTGCCCTGCGTAACAATCTCTCCAGTTTCCATGACAACCTCCCACTGCTGTCACAGCTCCCTCCCTCCACCCCCCCCCAACCCCGAAGGGACGAGTGCAGATTGTCAAGGTCACGGCAGGTCACTGGGAGAGGGACACAGACACATGAGCCCCCGTCTCAAATCAAACAGAAGCCCAGCGGAAAACACAGGGAGCTGGGAATACCTGGACCTGTCAGTCCGCAGGGAGAGAACAGGAGCTTGATACCTGCTGACTCCACCCCAGACCAGCAGGGCCCGAGCAGGACAGGGGTCCAGCCCTCCCCAGAACCCTACTGAGAGCAGCTCACAGTCCGAGCAGCAGGGGGCGCTGCAGAGCCCTGACCGGTCCTTTGCACAGCCACTGCTGAGGCAGACACGGGCAGGTACAGAGACTGAGATCGCTGGGGGCAAATCTGGGCACCGTGGCACTTCTGGGCTGTGTGAATCTCACCTACAAGAGGAAGAGAGGGAGACAGACAGCCTCCTCTAACAGTGTGAAAACCACACAGATGTCTTCCCAAAAATAGAGAGGAAATGAAATATTTAAACCACAGAAGAGAGGGAACAGAACTTCATTGCGACTTCACTGTGACACATTGGTGCTGACAAAAATACCCCAGGACAGACACTGAGAGACAGAAGACAAGGATGAAAAAG